GTCACGCCTGGCTAATTTTTCTATTTTTAGTAGAGATGGGGTCTCACTCTTGCTCAGGCTTGTCTCGAACTCCTGACCTCAAGCGATCCTCCCGCCTCGGCCTCCCAGAGTGCTAGGATTACAGGTGTGAGTCACCGTACCTGGCCTATATTCTTTCCTTTTCTGTTCAAACGTATCTGCAGGGCAGACAGTGATACCCCACTCTATAGGTAAGTTAACAGAAATTCAGAGGGTTTAACTCATGTAATGTCACACAGCTAGTGTAAGGTTTGTTTTAGAAACTCCCAGATAGGGGACTGCAAAAGCATATGCTGTGGTGGCTATGGCACAGACAGTTTGTATTTGTTCCAATTGAAAAATAAAGTTAGAAAGAGAGTTGGGAACAAGATTGGGAGTTCAAACCTTAATGGGGTGGTTTGGCTTAATCAAAATAAAAGTTTTAGGAAAATCAGCTTGAAGGTAGTTGGGAGGATGGCCTGGAGGGTGCAGAGATGAAGCCAGGAAGGATGATTAGGAGTGCTGGTGTGAGCTGAGAAAGATCTGAACCAGGGCAGAGTTGGTGGGTGTGAAAATGAAGGAGCAAATGCATGAGCTTAGGAACTAGCTCCTGGAATCTGCTGCTTTCCTGTTCTAGGTCCCGAAAATTCTCAGATCACTTGGTATCTATGATGGGGTTTCATTGTCCGAGAGCTGTTCTGTCCAATACGGTAGCCACTTGCCACTGTGGCTATTTATATTAAAATTAACCAAAATGAAATAAAATGAAAATATTTCATTTCTCAGCCACACTAATCACGTTTCAAGAGCTCAGCAGCCATGTGTGGTTAGTGCCTCCTGTATTGGACAGTGCAGACCTAGGACATTTCCATCATCACAGAGTTCTATGACAGTGCCGGGCTAGACACTCCAGGTCCTACAATAAGGCAACGTACAAGTGTGCTTCGATATGTCCTCTTCTTTGATTCTTTCATTTCCATTCTCATCCTTACAGAATCACTCGCCTGGCAGACTGTCTGGTCTATTTTCTTCAGAAAAATCAGGCAGCAGGAAAGGGAAGAATGTCATCAAGAATAAGGTGAAGCCAGGTATTAATATCTTCCCACATCTCTCTCCTTACTCCACAGTTCTTGGACAGCTAAGAACTCTGCTTGCTTTGATTTTGTGCAGGAGAGGGATGGCCTGGGATGTGCAACTTTAATGTGGGTTGGGGAGAGGGATGGATGGTAATGTCCTTGAAGGGATTTCCTCTGGCTAACCCCAATGAGGGAAAGAATTTGACAACTATGTCTGAGCAGTGAAAGAGGAACTGCTTGGTTTTTAACACTTTGGCTATTTATAATTTAATGAGTATTGAGTTGTGAGAATACTAAATAATTCAAGTCTGAGTATCTCAGAATCAGAATTAATAGGTTAGCTCTCTTTTTTCCATTCTCCTCCTGCCAAGTGTCCATCCAGTCTATGCTCATCTACCGACAAGGAGCTTCCTGCCTTCAATCTTGGTTCTTTTTTGAAATGTCTCACTAACAATAAAATACATCACCCAGTACCTTCCTCCTACCAATGGCAGTTCTTTCCTTTGTGGCCACATGGAATAACTTTTTTCTTTTCTTTGTTTCTTTTTTTTTTTTTTTGAGACAGAGTCTCGCTCTGTCACCCTGGCTAGAGCGCCGTGGCATCAGCCTACCTCACAGCAACCTCAAACTCCTGGGCTCAAGCGATCCTCCTGCCTCAGCCTCCCAAATACAGCTGGGACTACAGGTGCATGCCACTATGCCCGGCTAATTTTTTCTATTTTTAGTAGAGATGGGGGTGTCTCACTCTTGCTCGGGCTTGTCTCGAACTCCTGATCTCAAGTGATCCTCCCACCTCAGCCTCCCAGAGTTCTGGGATTTCTGGCATGAACCACCACACCCGGCTGGAATAACTCTTATATAAGCTCTCTTTGGTATGAAAGCCTTTCAAACATTTGAATACAACTCTCATGTCCCACCTTGCTCTTCCTAGCTCCAGATTCAAAAGCACCATTCTTTCTACCCCAGCACAGATCTATAGATTTGCCTTTTTAGGGCATGTCATATAAATGGAATTGTACAGTTTGCACTCCTTTTTTGCCTGGCTTCTGTCACTTAGCATGATGATTTTGATTTTTATCCATGTTGTGGGGTGTATCAATAGGTCGTTCCTTTTTAATGCTGAGTAGTTTTCAAGTATAAGGATAAACTCCCTTTTGTTTATCCATTCATCAGTGGATGGACATTTGGGCTGTGTTCACTTTCTGGCTATCAAGAAAATGCTGTTATGAACATTCACATACAAGTTTTTATGTGGACATATGTTTTCATTTCTATTGGACAGATTCTCAGGAATGGAATTGCTGGGTTCCCTATGACACTTTTGAACATTTTATGGAATATTCCTCAGAATATAGTTTTAGAAACAAAGTTCTAAGCTCATGTGGATCTGGTTTCACTACAGGCTCATATGGCCTCAAAGGATGGTGTCATCCATCATTCTAGGGGCTAGTGAAAAAGGGCACTGAAAACTCTATTTCTCTGTGTTTCAAGGCTCCATTTGTTGCCTCTTTGCTGCTGGGTCTGGCAGAGGGAAGCCTTGGCGCTTCCATTGCCTTTTATTTGCCTTAAAGAAAGAAGCATTAACACACTGATAATCACGAAGGCCTCGAATGATTCTCAACACATTATAAATAGTCTTAATATTTGCTGAAAAATATTTTCATGCTTACTGTAATATTAAAATTAGAAAACTACATTTTTGTGAGGGTCACTTTATACTTTCAATAGATGCTGGACATATTTATTCCCATGCATTTTTACCAGATACATACCCTGATTTTTGTCTTCATGTCTTTGATGAGTTTTTTCCTTTCTAATTTCTTCTTTTGTTTCAGTTTCCACTTTGCAACTCGGGAAGGAAGGAGGCGATCAAAAATATCTTGATCATCAACTTGTATAAAAACAGCAGCATCTGGGAAAAATCCGCGCTCCCCTAGAAACAGGGCCTCTTCGGGATGCCGTGGGAAACCATCTAGTATAAAACCTGTGGACCTAGGTGGAAATGTTTGTAATTTATTTTATTTGCTTAAAATATTATAT